GTTTGTTCGCCCGTCCGGAATTTTCGCGAGAATTTAAATTACGTCGACCTATCGGGTTGTGCGTCGAAGATCGGAGATAGCTCGGATATTATATAAATTTGGTTCGCTCACGCGGGCCTGGCGCCAAACCCCGCTTACATCTGCGGAGACGATTACTGTAACGTCTGAATTACTTGTATCTCCGATCGGGACGCGAAACTCTGCTCAACCCGGACGTGCGAACTCCCGACAAGATTGCCTCGCACCTACGCGTGCGGTCGCAATATATATATATGTGTGTATGTAAATATATTTATCAATTTTTCGTAAAAAAGCAAATAAAAAATTCTTGTAAAAAAGAAATAATATTCTGTTTAAAAATTATATGCATGTACTCGAGTTATAAATAGATATTATGTTATAAGTAGATATCAAAGTATTACTACAAATTTGTAGTTTATAACCCACGTTGCCATTGTTATATTTAGCGACTTTAGGTGGTCAAGCCAATAAACCATCTAGATGAATAATCTACAACAATGGAAGTTAAAAATATACGTACTATATATTTGGAAGTTAAAAATATACGTACTATATATTTGGAAGTTAAAAATATACGTACTATATATTTGACATATTATTGAAATAAACTTACATGTATAATAATATTTTTATAATGAGATAGTTGGTTATATCGATGAAATAGAGTAGAGGTGTGCAAATAGTTTGAATTCGAATCAAATCGAATCGAATCTCAATAGATTCGATTCAATTTGAATTGGAATCTGCGAGATTCGAAATTGAATAATTCGAGAATTTCGAATCAACAATGGTTTGATTTCGAATCGATCGCCTAAAGTAATAATAATCTGAGAAAATTTTATTCACATTCGATTCGTATTCAATTAAAGAGATTCGATTCGATTCGAAGTGAAAATTTCAGATTTGATTCAATACGATTTCGAACATGTTATAAAAATTCGATTCGATTCGATTCGATCATACAAAGGCTTGATTCGCACACCTCTAAAATCTAAAATAGAGGCTCCTCGTGTTATCGGAGATAAACAACAATATAAATGTTTTAAATTTTATTTGAGTAATGCAACTGGAAAACGTATGCAAATTGTTGCATGGAATAATATCATTGAAAAAACTGAACACGTGAAATTAAATGATGTAAGTATATGAAATTATTGTGTGCATGTATTATACATGTAAGTTTATTTTATTAATATGTCATATATTATTTTTTTATTTTTGTAAATCATAAAAATATTTCTAAAAATGTAATCTCTATTTTAGTCAAAATAATATCGAATAAAATATCAAATTTGTACAAGGTGAAAAAATAATTTGTA